GCAGCATTCAAGCGTGGTCTTATTCGACCATAAGTGCCCAGCGAAGTGGACTTCACATGAAATTCCGCCATGATTCCAGTTCCAAGGGAACGTACACGTTACAATCAAAGGGCATTAAAGTGCACGAGACGTGAATTTATATTGTATTTATTTACAGAGGTATATTCTGCCACACTTAACACTTCTCTAGTAAGTTTCGTCTGTGTGTGAAGACAGTACCGCAAATCCGTGAAGGTACTGTACTATAATATATACAAAGAATATCGGTCGATATATCGAAATCAGCCGTTTTCACTCCCCAATATCGGTATCGGTATCGTCCCCAAAAAACCCATATCGGTCGGGCTCTAATTAATACAACCTCTTATTATTAAGCTATTTTTGGTGCTATAGCCTCTTGACCTATCCAGCTTTTCCTATCATTTTACTGCCTGGTTATACTCCGCTTTTTGCCAATGTATACTGTCTTTCTCCCAAACCACCAGATAAATTTATATCAGCTTTCTTTTTTTTCAACTCCAACAGACTCTCATCCAGTGGTCCTCTGATCCTATGACTGACAGACAAAAACCTTTATCATCACACTGCCACTGATGTTAATGGATCAGTCTCTGGAAGTCCATGTACAGTCGCTTCTGACTGAATTTCACAAGTCAGCACTTGCTTATTAACAGTTGGGCCCTGTTAATGAAATGATAAATGTCTCTAGCTTGCTAAATGCATTTCCAAGAGCAAATACAAACACTTTTAAGTAAACTATTACTTACTTGCTCATGTATGTGATCAAGTCTTTGGTAATCTAAGTGAATTTATTCTACTTCACTGATATCAATGACCAATAGAGAGAAATATGAACAGGGCTCGCAAAATCGCTAGCCTGACGTCCCGGGGCTCTTGTGTTTTCCAGTCGGGCTACCAAAATGTATCACCACTCTGCCCGACGGGCTATCTTAAATGCATATCTCCCGCGGGTCCTTAAAAACTCATAAAGTGAGTTGTATCAAACTTAAGGTCATAACAAGTTTTAAATATGTTAAATGGTATAAGAAATGTCTTAAAGGGTTAGTTCACCCA